GGGCCAGTGAGAAAAATAATAGTTTCGCGGCGCACAGTGACTCCCGGTAATTATATATTTACCTCTCCCCTCCTAATTGACATTAAGCGATGGAAAAAAGGCACTTCGACGGAGAATTAAATTCTCCATTAATTAATACTCTTTCATCCCTTAATATTTTCNACTCTAACCGCACGGCCACTACCGTCGGTAGTTTTTATTGTTTTGTTACAGAGATTAAGAGATGATAGAGGGTCAACTGATGGGTAATTGAAATCTCCGTCGAACCGCCCTTTTTTCATCCCTTAATCTCTGTAACAAAAAAATATAAACTGCCATGAAACTCAGGGGTCAGTAAGAAAAATAATTCTTTCGCAGCGCACACTGACTTTTCACCATTCGCCCGGTAATTAAAAATTCACCTCTCCCCTCCTAATTCAGATTAAGGGATGAAAAACTGACAGTTCGACGGAGAATTCNGGTGAAAAGTCAGTGTGCGCCGCGAAAGAATTATTTTTCTTACTGGCCCCTGAGTTTCATGGCAGTTTATATTTTTTTGTTACAGAGATTAAGGGATGAAAGAGGGTTTATTGGTGGGGAATTTAATTCTCCGTCGAACTGCCGTTTTTTCATCCCTTAATCTCAATTAGGAGAGGAGAGGTGAATTTTTAATTACCGAGAGTCACTGTGCCCCGCAAGACAATTATTTTTCTTACTGCGTTGTGATTTTCATGACAGTTTCTTCCATTTTTTACAGAGATTAAGGGATGAAAGAGGGTTAATTGATAGGTAATTTAGTTCTCCATCAAATAGCCTGTTTTTCATCCGAGAGAGAGAGAGAGATTGGGAGAGAGAGTGAACGGCTGACGAAAAACCTCGAATGATTCTTTTTCTCGCATCCAGGGGCCCTATTCTCGACGTTGGTGAATTCTTCTTCGTGCACGAATCGGCAATCGTCAACGAATCTTCTATTCAACTACTATACGCAGTTCGTCAACGAACGTCGATTCGTGGACGAAGGACTATTCACTAACGTCGAGACTATGGCCCCAGTCCGTGACGATCCACAGGCCCGTGCGCGCATGCGCAAATAGTCTGA